CAGTGTTGTACACTATGTCGATACAGGGTATAAACATTAAGTCATTAACTGCAGCCACATTGCCGGCAGAGGTCAGTGTTGTACACTATGTCGATACAGGGTATAAACATATAGTCAGTATCTGCAGCCACATTGCCATCAGAGGTCAGTGTTGTACACTATGTCGATACAGGGTATAAACATTAAGTCATTAACTGCAGCCATAAATGAACTGAAACATGATGTTGTGAAGTAAATGACGACCAACATGTTCTCCGCCTAGACATGAACGCTTTGGATGAACAGCTGCAAAACTTACACTCTAGTTTTTCGTCAGTAGTTGAAGATCTTGACAAACGAGTAGAACAAGTAGAAGTTTACGGAGGATGGACATAGGGGAATCATACAGCTGGAGTAAATGAAAGGTGGTTCAGTTGTTCAACTCTGTGTGTGGCGATGGAGATAACCCTTTACAAGGAGATGGCATAAACAGATCTCACAGGTTAGGTGGTGACAACAGTTCCAAACCCAGACCTATCATTGTTTCATTCTGGGACTCGGAGACAAAGATATGGGCACTGAACAAATGAGAAGACTTAAGATCAAATAACATTGGTATTGCGAACGATCTCACTCCACACAAGAGATTGTTTCATTCTGGGACACGGAGACACAGATATGGGCACTGAACAAATGAGAAGACTTAAGATCAAATAACATTGGTATTGCGAACGATCTCACTCCACACCAGAGATTGTTTCATTCTGGGACACGGAGACAAAGATATGGGAACTGAACAAAAAAGAAGACTTAAGATCAAATAACATTGCTATTGCGAACGATCTCACTCCACATCAGAGAGAAACTTAATATTGACTTATCAGCGAATGGTAAACGAGGCTATTACAAGAATGGAAAAGTCGTAATCGTCAGCGATACATTCCACACCTACAACTCGACAACGTGGAGAGAAGGATAACAGGAGACGAATCCCCGTTCGTTATAATAGGAACGGTTCCAGACCTAAGATGCGATGGGAACGCGGGCGAGCTCGTCCAAACGCACCCCGGATCTCTACGGCCACTCGACTATATGTTTCTGTCTCCACGTGGAATATTTTCGGTATAAAGAATAAAGAAAACGATGTATGTTTGGATATTTTTCATCTGTCAGACTCGTCACTATATGGCTGAAATATTGCCGAGGTGACGTTAAATTTGACCTCACTCACTCATCTGTCAGAAACATGGACTGGTGAGAATCATTCTCACCTTTTCCCAAATCACAAGTGTTTCGCTGTTCCAGGAACATGGATATCAACTAGTGGAAGGATATCAGGTGGAATTATGGTATTCATAAGAACCTGTCTTGTTAGGTTTGCAAAGAATATTCACAGATGTACTAACTGCATATTTCTGTTATTCGATAAAGCTTTGTTTCTACATGGAAAAGATGTATTGTCCACTTCTGTATACATTCAACCGGACGGTTCTAGCTGGTACAAAGATAAGACTTGTGAAAACGGCATTGTGTTACTGTTGGATAGTTACAATGATTTCACGCCCACCTTATCAGGTTGTGAAAGTATCCTATGTGCAGACTTTATGGAAGAACCGGCAAAATAGATGACTACATTGATGATAACTAGAAGTATATTTTACCAGGTTTTGAAGATATGAATCAGTACTGATATTACGACTGTTCTCTTGTGACAGTGGTGTAAATGTATTTGGGAAATACTTGATTGATCTATGTAGACTTCTTAACTTGCACATAATCAATGGCCGCATTGGAAGCGATAAAGGTGTTGGTGTTTTTACATTCATCCGTGATTATGTCATTGGATCGGAACCCATTAATAGAGAAATATTATCTCTTGACATCCTTTCAAAACCTGATTCTGAATACCTGCCAATTATATTGTCATTACAGACCAGCAAGGCACCACACTGGTTTAACAATACGTGTCAATCTTAAACACAGCTGCGATGTCATTTCCTGAACAATTTTCGTAAGCGCAAAGATGAGGCGTCTCTAGTCGCTTATGTAACAAGTAAAAATACATACAAATCGGAATGTAAGACGGCCAAGCGCTGTCATGATGATAAGCAATTACTTGAACTGAATGATGCAATAGGTGATACTAAAACGTTCTGGTAAAAACTGAAACACCTAACGGTGGTGTTTCATCATTGAATAGATATATGATTATATCACGTTTAATCAATATGACTTGATGATATATGTTTGATGCACCAATTAGTATCGGCAAAATACATAGAGGATGTTTTGTTAATGTTGCCAAATAACATGTATATTTCATCGAGTGGTCTGACAAAGTTGATATGTTCAACTTTGTCAGACCACTCGAGGCACACAAGAAAGGCCTTTAAAAAGGCAACGTTGGATTAAATTAAGAAATTTAGTGAGAAAGACGCGGGATGAATTGGGGTGGTGGGGGGTGGGGTTTGAAGCTGATTTCAATAGCATCACGATGACCATACCTCCGTCTATTAGAGACTTGCTTCTATTAGAGATTGGTACTCTCATCTCTAGTATATGACATTTCATATCAAAGGTCTTTGTTATATCTAACAACGTCTGGAAATGAAGTACTAGTGACGCACGGAGGAGACATGGTCCTATATAGTGCCACTGCCGGGCCAGCGTCTATAAACACGCGAGGATTCGCACAGTGATTACTAAGACGGTATAACATGGACGCTCAAGGCTCAGCACTCGCGATACTGTTACTGAACACGTCTCTCGAACTGATTGTAAGAACCAGTCCTTCCCTTGAATCTAAATTCCAGGAAAAGCTAATGGGTGCTACTAAAATAGAATTGATTTTCCGATTCTGCAATTCGAGATTATGCGCTGAACATGGTCACGTGGATCCTAATTTGCTACAGCTATGTTCATTGGTCATTTGGAATTGTCAAAATACAAAGAGACTAAGTATCATTGGCTAAAAGTTCATTTTGAATATTCCAAATCTAATTTTAGTAAAATGACAAACATGAAGCACTCGGTCATTCAATATATTGTGTACCCTCGTCGCGCGTCCAAGACACAGGTGCACCTTGTTCTTAGGCTCCTTATCAAGTTCATAAAGAAAGCTTGCGGAATCGCATTCCATTCTTCTACTAGAACTCTGCGAAGCTCTGGGTGACGTGTATACACGTCGACCGAGTTCATCCCAGGCATCCTCAGTTGGGTTGAGGTCTGGCGAGAATGCTGGCAACTCCATCCGCTCTACACCCTGCTGCCTAAGGAATTCCGTGACAATCCTGGCCCTATGAGGCCTAGCGTTGTCGTCTTGCAGTGATGAGGGTCGACCATAAAAGCCTCGCATAGCTTGCAGTAATGGTACTGCTGTAGGAGCCGGAATCTCGCCGCTATAACGCTGTCCGGTAAGATTACCGTCGACCACGTGCAGTGGAGTACGTCCAGTAGGAGTTACCCCCTGCCCAAACCATGACTGACCCCCCGCCAAATCGGTTATACGTGGCCAAAGTAGCATCTGTGATACACTCTCCATTGCGTCACGATGAATCCTCTCCCGACCACCATGGAAGGACAAATTGAATCTGCTTTCATCTGTGAAGAGCACACGAGACCATTGACGTTGATTCCAGCGGCCATGATGTCAACTCCATCTCAAACGCGCCTGCCTGTGACGTGATGTTAGTGGTGGACGAACTGCAGGTCGCCTACAGCGAAGTCCGGCTGCCCTTAAACGTCGACGAATGGTGCTCCTGGATATCCTTACATTGTTAACATTGAAGTGTTCAGTCTGAAGATCTGCTACGTTAAGGAATCTGTTACGTAGCGCAGTGTTCATCATGTGCCTATCATCTCGGACTGCTGTGACTCTGGGACGAACTGCATATTCCATGGACCCATTGGCTTGAAAGCTCTGCCACAGTCTACCATTGGCACTCTGACACATTAAAGCGGACAGCAACCTGCCGCTAGGTTTCGACAGATTCCAAAAGGCCTATAGCCTGACCCCTTTCAACAAGTGACAAAAACGTCTCATTTTCAGCTGCAATTTCAAACAGGTACCTGAACAGTGAACGACAGTAAAAAAGCATCAATGCATGTGTATTGTCCTCCACTTTCCATGGATAGAGCGACTTGCACGTGCAATTCATTGACATTAAGTGGCAGGTGGATTTCCATATTGACAATTTGAACTTAAAATGTGCCATTTGTAAGAGAATGTATCGGACGTTAAATAACGTAATAATGACATTTCAACGGCGATATGTTTTCCATACTGTTAAGAAAGTTGTAAGAAATAGTGTTACCAATAGCTTGACCCTTCATTAATGACGCCGAGTATGTTGAAAATAATTATGTCATGCTACTGAGAACCAATCCTGCAAAATGCGGCGTAAAACTAAACTCACTTACTCACTCCTGTCCCACATTTCACAAATTCTGTCTACTAATGTCAACCGAAAATATCCAGCTTCTTCAGAATGTTGCTACATTTATACACCATGCATTTTCAAAACGCAAACCTTGTACCACTCACCCGTTGTAACAGTTTGTACTTGTACTGAGGGCTTTGGCCTGCAGTTAGAAATATACAAGCACTAGTGACAAGGGTAATCATGAGTTGTCACGTCACGTGTTTACAGACGAGTCGCGATTAATTGTGGGCTTGTTTGATGGGGTTGGTTGTGTCAGGTGGCGGTGGATCTATTAAGGTGTCTAGTATCACCGCTATGACCGAGCGAGCCCCACTTCATATTTTGCAAGAAAGAAAGTGTCACTGGACAGTACTATGGCAACAACATACAGTTGATTATAATGTCCCTGGTTATAATGCCACCCTGGATATAATGCCATGTTTTTGCCAAAACGGATTTCCTGCCTATATAATACCCTGGCTATAATGCCAAACTGGATATATTGCCATATTCCAATGGTTTTTGGAACAAAAAGTCATTTCCCCCTTGTTATAATGCCAATTACATATAATGCCAATGTAGTATACATAATGTAGTAACATAAATGGTTAATTGACATAACTCAAATTAATTGACCGAACTCATTAATGCTTTAAGTAGTCTTGTAATCCCAGATAGGATAACACATGTGACAATACACTCCCTGCCACCTACAACAACATGTCACCTGCAGACCCTAGACTCTGCAATTATCCAGGCATTCAATGTTCATTACGGGAAACATCAGCTCAATCACCCTGTTGATTGCATAGGGTCTCTAACTGTCCTACCGGTGTCCTCCCATTACGCAGACAGCCAGTTCGCAGACACCTTAAAACAACAACATTTACGGTTCAGTGAACAGATTATCTACTACCTGTTACCTACACATTATAATGGAATAGTCCAAATAAAAACACAGGAACAAACTGAAGCTATATTATTTATTTGGAAAGATGGTCGAAAAGACAGTAATTTGAATTTTTATTGCTGCAATATAAAAACAGTTTATTTATTAACAGGTTGTTTATTTTCATAAATATTTCGGTTTAACCTTCTAGTCTAACGGGAGTCGGCATCATCATATAGAAAACATTAGCTTAGCTATTAGAAATTGCGACACTGTTGTATCATATAAATCAAATATAGATAAATGTGAACCTAAATATTATTCATTTGGGATAAAGAAGTTATATGTTTTGCACACAATATTAAGATATATGACGACTGCACTTAGTTACGATTTATTTAGAATAAATATTTAAAATATGACGCATCATGTGAATGTGGCCATGGATGTGAGAATGTTTTTCATTACCTCCTTGAATGTCCATTGTATACTACCCAAAGACATAAAGTGTTACAATCTTTAGAAAGTATTGTTGAAATTAGAACACTGGTTGGTATTAATCGTATCTTACATGGCAATGCAGGTGTCTCATTTACTGCAAATCAGAATGTTTTCAAATATGTACATATCTATATCTCTCCAACAAAACGTTTTCTCAGTTAACTTCTGTTGTACATGTGCTATTATTGGGAGGGGGCTTTTCTATCAATAAACACAATCAAACCTCTCAGTGACAAACCTGTTTTTATATTCGATAGTAATTGATAGTAAAATCAATTTTGAGAAGAGAAATCATTTAATCACAACAAAGTTCTATTTACCCACAATCAAACTTGTCAGTAACGAACCTGTTTCAGGCTCACCCTGCTCTACTCACTAGACAGTGGACTGTTCCATTATACCCGTAGGTGTTACCCTAATTAACCTTCTAGTTCAGTGTCTGTCAATTGGGTGTCTGTCAATTTGGTGTCTGTCAAATGGGAGATAACCGTCCTACCTGGTTATAATGCCATATTTTCTCCTGGACAAACGGTGGCATTATAACCAGGGTATACTGTACGTTGTTGTCCCGTTTGCAAGGCTTCGTTTGTAGGTTGACGAGCTCACCGCGCACGAATCGTCAATGCTCAGCCCACCAAACATAACATGTACAGAATGCCATCGACAGACCTTTCCCCCATGGAACACTACTGGGACACCATAAGCCGCCCACCACGTTAGCTCAACTTGGCCAATTGGCCATTGCGAAACTACTATGTAGTATGCGTGGTCGAGAGAAATGAATATTTGACAAATCGTGGCGGTGTAATTACTAATCGCTCATCACACAACTATTTCTAGAACCTATAGTCTCTCTTATAGTTTTGAAGATGGGTAGATGGTTAACAATAGGTAGATTTATCAGCAGTCAATGGATAAAACTGCGTTACTAAGTGAGTGAGGGATAATAGATTAACAATGTTGCAGCTATTTGCATTATAGACCAGAATATCTGCGACCTCCAATTTTGGAATGGAATGAAAATTATTCAAAACTTGCATTGGAGCAAAGTTTACTGATACAGTGAAATGCCAGTTTGGCCGCCTTAAACTTAGACAGGGTCTATTTGTATCCACACATTGTCGGCGAGCGACGCCTTCAAAGCGACAATTAACTACAATAAGAGCATTGACCTCAGCAAAAACTATTGATGCGCGGAAGAGTTTATCTGTCTCCTTCCCACGTAGCATTTGATAACACCTTCATATTATCAAGCGTTTTCAAACATAGACGCTGGCATCGTCTTGGGCTTGCGTGGGAAAGGTGACAATTCTGCGGACAAAACGTTGACTTGTGAGTGATTCAAGTGTTTGTAGGGTCACTCTTGAAATGGTGCATGGGTTGGCTCAGACCAGTCACAATCATAGTTTATTAACATAAATCTATGTAGAACTTCTCTTCTTTCATTAAATATCCTTGGATTACGTCTGGCAGCCATTTTGGGTCACATAACGTCAGTCAAAACTTTGTTGATTTAAGTCAAGAAATGTGAGCGTCAAACAAGATCTTGAAAGGCATTGAGAAGTTGGACGAACATGAATACATGACACGTTTTTTTATGGATAACAACTTTTTATTCTTTATAGGAATTTTCAGAGCTAATTCTTTCTCCTTCATCAGGTGAATGCTGAGTTAGTGCACAAAGTGAATATATACAGATAATACATGTTTACACAACGCAAGGTGGGAGAGTGTACAAAGATAACAACATAATACTAAGCCAATTATATAGGATTAATGTCCAAAGATAACGATGTAAGGATGAAGCCAATGCGATCAACGGTATTACAATGTAAGGCGAAGCCATGATTATAGAACAGAGGAGTATACACTTGGTCTTGGTTAATGGCTGGCCTCTTTCTTTAGATCTCGATGCTTTCTTGAAATTTCCTCTTTTTCCAGTGGTTGATGTTGGTATGTAGAATCTTGTTTTGTTGCTAGGAAGTATGGTGGTCGGTATTTTTGATGAGGTGTTCCGAAAGGGCAGATTTTATGTAAGATTTTCTACAGAAGTGTTATGTTTTTTTATCCTGGTGGCTATGGGGGGTGATGTCTCTCCTATGTATTTGTCTGCACAGTTGCATGCTATCTCGTACACACATCCTCTAGGGTTTGGGGTGGACTCAGTGGGACCTTTTCGTTGGCATGTAACATGTTTTGGTGTCCTTTCTGAAGTAAAAGTGACGTCTATGTTTGCTCTTCTAGTGAGCAGTCTGCTGATCTGATGACTGGTAGGACCTTGGTATGGGATGCTGACGAAGATTGGTGATGGGACTCATTTGGACTTGGGATCAGGATCTTTTTAGCTGAGTGTCTAGGGTTTTGCGTTTGTTTTTCTCCACCAAATGTTTAGGGTATTCGTTGAGGGCAATGAAGGTGTGCTTCAGATGATGAATTTCTTGGCTGAGACTGTTTGAGTTGCAGACGACTATGGCTCGTCGGATGAGGGTGGCAATGATAGATTGTTTGATCTGAGGATGGTGGTTTGACAGGTAGTGAATGTATTGATCCGTGTGGGTTGGTTTGCGGTAGACGGCAGTGTGGATGTTGTCTTGACAGTTGTCGAGTTGTTCATCGAGGAAGGCTAATTGGTGGTGTTTTTTTCTGTTTCCATAGTGAATTTGATTCTGTGGTGCTGTAGGTTGAGGTGGTCGTGGGCTTTGTCTTGGGTGGTGAAGGTGAACTTTGAGCCCAGGTCTGAGTGATTTGTCCTACGGAAACGAAACATAGTGGAGAACTTTACCCAAGCTTTGATAATAGTCTGAATCATAACGAAAGGAAGCTTCTAGAAACCTTCCAGAAGCTCACATTAAGGTAAGTAATGATTACCTGTCCTAGTTGTAACCGGAGGGGTGAGTGAGTATGACTTTACGCTGCTTTTACCAATATTCCAGCAATATGGCGTGGGAATCAGTAATGGGCTTTCGCGTACCACTTTGGACCAACACAATCAATGCTGATGTTGAAAGGTTCTTCTAAAGCTGTAAAGATGCAACCAGGGCTTTCTTATTAGAATTCCCAACAATTTGAATTCAACTAAACTGTTAGAATTTTATGGTAATCATATTGAAAATTTAAGACAGACTAAGAGAATGATTTATGAAAGTGCCAGTCCAATCGTAATTGGAATAATCCTCGGAAAGATTTTTCTTGCCACAGCACGTGTAACAACACACGAAGAGAAAAAAAACGGAATTCTTTTACAAGGTTTTCAGCACTGTCCGAAGTGCTGGGCTCATGACAAGGAACGGGAACAGCCCAACACGTTCCCCCTCCTGCCCCAGCAAGCACATCAACACCTTTAACAAGGAGAGTCCATACAGGCCCCACCGTAACAAAGCCATGCACAAAACGGAGAGGCGCACTAGTAAAGCCACACCCACCCTTAAACACTTGAGTTAGCGGATGAAAGTGGCAAACATTTCATCTAAAAGCAGATTTTGCAAAGCACCAATATCCCTCAAAACGGCAACAGAACTGTGAATTAAAGCTGGCACAAAACCTATACTAAAACGAGTAAATACTCCTCTCTCACAAAACCAAACTTTGAAGATAAGTCTACAACAGCTTCCTACTCATTACCCGACATCAGTCTATGACCTGACATTCACACTGGGAGATGACATTCACACTGGGAGATGACATTCACACTGGGAGATGACATTCACACTGGGAGAAGACACTTGTTACCATGATCCTGCTAGTTCCAAAACAATCTGTTCTCATCATCTCTGCATGTCCCATACGTTGTCTGTAAACACATACTCTGCCACACCAGAGGAAGCGCCATGACTTGTCAGACAACACAACTCTCCGACACAAGCAAGTTGTCATCCATGTATATATATATAGCCTTGTGTAAATAGGGATATTTAGGGATATTCCAGTGATATTAGCTTCACACAATGGGGGGAACGAACGGACTTAGCATGGCGAGCGACTGCTTGGACTACCGACCAAAACGTATCGAGTACTAGAATGTTTTAAACCCTATCAATTTCAGCCACGACTGTCAGTGAACATATCATTAAACTAGGGCTTTTGTCTCTTGTGGCAGCTATATTTGATACATACCGTACCTTGACATGGAACTTCATGCAGTGATCAACGCAGTGTTCATTCCAGGCAATTATTTCATGTAAGTTCAATGGTAAAAAGATGAAAATGCACACGTCTGTGGACAAAGGGTTCTCCAACACAACAGCAGCCTTTATTGTTGTGTTTCTGCTTACTTGAGTCCACAAGATGGCGTCAAAGTCAGTACTTTGTATGGCCACCATTGGCAGCAATTACTTCTCCGCACACA